CCACAATGCCCCCAACTACCCGCGCCGATACGACGCGCGCCCGCCGCCGCCGCGGTCGGACGGCCGTCCATTGCCCGTGGACCCGCGCCAGATCTCAACGTCGTACCAGGACTTGGACTCGATCCATACGCCAGCGGTGAAATTGGACTTTCAAGACGCGTTGGGGAGCCTGCCGCCGCCGAAAAAGTTGAAAAAGGCCGACGACGGGCATGTCGACGGATGATAAACCGCGGGGGGTTCCGTCCTTTTATCGGACCCCGTTGGGTATTTTTAACATGATCAAACGTGTGTTAAACAATAAAAAGCATATCGATATATTGTCGATTTGGTACAAATTTGGGGAGGGGGTGCAATCGAATCGCGCCGACGAAACCGATCCACAATCGATCTGATTGGTTGAATTTCATTGAGAAGGTTTTGATTGGCTAATAATTTTGAGCTCATCTGAAGTAGCCAATCAAATCGATTTAAATTCCAACGAGAAACCACAACACGAAATTTCACTCGAAAGCACAATATTGTGGATTGGATACGAATTTCCAGACCCCATATCGAATCACGAATTGACGCTATTGGCGAATCCATTTTTGAGTGGATTGGATTGGCTCAGAAAGGACAAGGATATTCAACCAATCAAAACTCCAGCGTGATTCAAGATTGATTCGCGAATTTTGGAAGTTTCTAGCGAATATTCACAATCTAGTTGAGCCAATCAAAAAGGATCGATTTTTTGGAGCAAAATTGGGGCACCTTTTCAGACCTAATTTCGTCTTATACTACGTAGTATTAGTATATTTGTAATTTTGCCCAATGCGGAGACTTCAACGTTTGGATTGGCAGAAATTCGACAGAACAACGTGATTTGATTGGCTTGGGCGGTTCACACACTCGAAAGACATTCGATTCGCTTACGAGTAGTTTTCGCATGAATTTGACAAGATTTCGACAAAATGATGTGTTTTCGCTTGTTAGGTTAATTTGGGTCGGTTCAGCTTGACATGTTCGTCGAGTTGCTTGTCACGGCGCAAGGTCGCGGCCAAGAACTGCCCAATCCCGCGCAGGTAGAAGTACTGAAACACGAGCGTTTGGTTGTAGAAAAAGTTGGCGTTGCCAGAACCAGGGTAAAGCCACAGAAAGCCCATCACGGGCAGCAGCACCGTGGCGACGCCGAGGCCCGCCGCGAGCACAAACTTGGTCGGCATGCCTGCATGTATATGAGATAGATACGCATGTTTCCCGACACTAAACTTTCGTTTCACCAAACGTGTAAATGAACCATGCATGCTGCTGCTGCTGCTTCAAAATATGTAGATGATGCCAACACATACAACATTGACGTAGAATAAGACCAGCCGATTTCAATGACATGATTGAAAGAAATAATCCTACACAATATTGTGGATATTCGGTACAGCACGAATAATCGATGCTATTGGCTACTCCAATTTTTTAAGTGGATTTGATTGGCTCTTACAGAATGGACAAGTAGATTTTCAACCAATCAGAACTTCACAATACCGATGATCGAACTCGGGTGGAGTAGAAAGCACGGGAGGGCAAACCCAATGTCCCCCAACGACGGGTACGGCTGAAAGATGGACACGAGGGCGAGCAGCACACATGCAAATGCCAACGGTCGAGCGCTAGATAGATAGAACAAGTCAATAAGAAGAAGACGACGGAGCAGTAGCAGTAGCAGCAGTCTAGATGTCGTACCGAAGGCGAATGAACAGCGGCAACACGTACAAGTACGGGTGTAGGTGCAGCAGCACCAAAAAGTACGATTGAAATCGGTCAAACAGTTCCATGAAGAAGTACCAAAAGATGCCAATATTGGGCGTCAAGTCTGGGTACTCGTGCATCCACACGTACGTGGCCCTAAGAAAGTCCCAAGTGCGACCCATATACACGAACGACACGCCGACAAATCCCCCGACGCTGGTGAGAAACAAGCCAATGGAAAGCAAGACACGTGGCAGCGGCACACGCGTCGGTTGGTCCTGAGAACGTATGAGAGACGACGACCAAAAAGGCATCAGAAAAGACCACGTACAGGCGTGGAAAACGAAGCTGCCGATCTTGCTTGATGTATCATGAGCAGCACGGGCACGACCAGCACAACGGGGTACACGCTCAAGTACGTGGCCAGCGCAAGGAGAACGATGGCGTGGACAAGCAAGCCTAACGCCCCCCCATGATGGCAATGCATTTCACTAGGAAAGCATACCTTGTACGGCGAACGAGAAACTCCACACGATCGAAGCATAAGTCACCAGGCTAGTCGACAGCGCCAACGACGAAATGACCGAGTACGGATTGAACAAGAACATGGCTGCCGTCGTGGCTGGCAGCATCTCGGGCGCAAGCAGGGACGACACTGGCGGATGGTTGAGCCAGATCTTGCTGCGCTCGCATTGCTGCTCCCCTTGGCTCGACAGGAACGCACGGCACATTGAGGCAAACCCCAACGCAATCACAACGTCCATGAAGATGGTCCATCCGATCAAACATGTGCGCAACGAGATGTGGAACACCGTCAGCGCGTCAAGCAACGTGTAGACCGCAAGCACCAACGGCGGTTGGTGGAACGTGTCCCCTGCGTATGGATTCACCCCCGCTTTGTAGAGAAAGTGGCCTTCTTGGAGCCTCAGCAAAGAGTTCAGTGGCGTAACATACTCAAGTCGGTTCTGGGCAAAGGCATCCAGTCCACATGCAAACAGACCCACCCTCAGCGCCGCGCCAGCACACACCACCGCCGCCACTTTGCTCGTCGACATGACGAATGCAGAAAATACCTCGTGCTTATTGGCTATTATTTTGTACACTTTTGTCCAATAAAAAAGCCCCACAGTCGACGAGAGGCTCCAAATGCTTCAACGTTGGATACGTATTCAAGCCCCCCAAATGAAGATGCGAGCTGCGGCGGCCAGACAGACACGCAGCGCGCACACATGAACTCAGGGTAACTTAGTTGGAACAAAGCTCAACTGCATGGGCGGTTATCACTGTCCATCGACGTACAGTCCGTCAAGTGTGAGCAGCTAGCTACGTCGGCAGCCTCACGTCCTTACGAGTGGAGCGAATGATCAATCCACGATGATACTACAGCCTTCGTACTGGCAGTGCGATGATCACTTTACAATGCATAGCATATGAAGTATATTCATCGTTAACATTGGTCGAGGGAGCTCACGTCAGATAAATCTATCCGACGGCAGCTCCTTCTACCTCCAAAATATCTGACACATTCATTTCTTATCTTACCGTGGTTCGACACAACATGACATGGCATCACAGCTCCATTCCACCCCACACGCGTGTCAACGCATATCTGCAGCTCTCTACAACACGTGAAATCAAGGGAAGGTACTTTACCTGTAATCCTGATCATACACGTCATGCAGCGGATGTAGAGCGAGGGAACAGCACCGAGGGAACCTCAGGGGACACATACGAAACAAGGCAAGATACTGCGCCGACGGTGGGCCACGGTTGTTTATGCGATTTTCAAGTTATCCCACACGGTAGTTTAGTATCATCGAATGGCTCAATTGTCACGCACTACAGGGTTCCCTTCTTCGAGAACCTAGTAGTGCATGTCAATTTAGTACCGTTCACGGCTGCGGCGATCGTAGTCGCGGCCACCACCCCGGCGGTCGTCGTAGCGGTCTCCACCACGACGGTCATCGTAACGGTCACCCCCACGGCGGTCATCGTATCGGTCGCCACCACGGCGGTCATCGTAGCGGTCGTCGTAGCGGTCACCTCCACCGTGCGAGAACTTGCACGAGTCACCACGATGGCATCGGCCTTGCTTGAAGTCGTAGCATTCGCCGGCACTGCGGGTATCGCGGGGGCGGCGTTCTTCGTACACACCACCGGTCACATCTTCGGCGCGGTTCTTTCCCTTTTGTTCGTCGAATCGCACTTCAAACTCGACCTTATCCCCTTCTCGGAGGCAGTTGCCGTCCTTGATGGACGAAAAGTGGCAAAACACGTCTTCGGCACCATCATCGGGCTTAATGAATCCGAATCCCTTTTCGTTCCAGCGGGCAGCGGTACCAACCTTGCGCTTGGAGTTACCTTGGTCACGGTCTGGGCTACGGCTGCGGCTGCGGTCGTTGCGGCGGGGGCTATCGTCGCGGCGAGGAGAGTTGCTACGGCTTCCGGGCATTGTGTGGTAGGGCTGGTTCTTTCGAAAGTGAAAAAAACATCGAATGCTCCCCCCCTCAACCGCTGCTGCACACCACCCACAGTATCCGGATATCTTTCTCGTCGCTCCAAAACCGGATAAGATCGCAAAATCTTAACGGTAATTCTTTCTGATTGGCCAAAACCTTTGATGCCGCGACGTGGGATTAAGCTTGGTTTTAGTATACGCATACAAAACGCCTAAATGTCGGCGCATTTTGGCGCGCAACTTGGCATTTCTTGGACGCCGTCCCCACCAGCATGGCGGCGCACCCTGTCTTCTTGACGCAAGCTCTGCTGGACGCAGGCAAGATACCTCATGGAAGTCAAGTGCGATGGATTGGCTTAGTTCGCGACGTTGGGCAGCCGCAATTGATGGTGGACCCGACGGACGACTCGGCGTACATTGAGACAACTCCCCATCGCTGCGAGGTGATTCCGGGACGAGCACCGTGGTTGCAAGAAAAGCAAGCCGCCCTGCAATCCAAATTTCCGTCAGGTATACAACGAGCGGGAAGAAGTACGGGATCAAGCGTTCTTGGCAAGACGAAGAGAAGTACGTCGGACGACGACGATGACGAGGCCGCCTGCTCGAAGAGCGATCGACATCGCCCTTCCGCCATTGACAAGAAAGACGAAAGCACCATCTCCATTACTCGTCCATCATTTCAAGTCATCGTGCGTGCGTATCAAGGCATCCAATACAAAGTGAACCACGTGTACGAATTTGTGGGCGAGTTGGATCTAACTCCCCAAGCCCTCGACGACTTGGACATGGAATGGCAAGGTGAAGATGCAACGAGCTCCAGGAACACTGCCAAGCTCTTGGAGTTCATTCCTACGTTGCATGCAAAAGGTATGCCAGAATTTTGGGCGACCAGTGATTGACTGTTTTGCCTAGATGCCACGGAACGTGATTATGCTTGCGACGTTTTGAACCATGTTGGCACGTATGAATCGTATCCAGGAAAAGAGAGCAACGGTCGGCGGATCGAATGGTGCCTGGAGCAGTGGAAACACTTGGGATATCCTTGCACGGTTGAAGAAATCCGTGAGCAGCTCATTGCGTACCTCGCCTCGTCCCTTCAACATGACTCCTTGTCGGCTGAGTTTGTTGCCCTTTGTCTGCTGTCGCGCGTGTACCAGCGATCCCAAGTGGCCACCCCGTTCGGTCACTTTGCAGTGAACTTGGTGTTTCCCAAGGCAACCCCCGATGCCGTTGGGTCAAGCTGTGGCAAGTTACTCGAGGCAATTCGTCGCATCGTTCCGATGGCCACGTCGTTGAACCTGTCGATTGAATCACTCTGCACCACGTCGTTTTGTCCACGAAAGGTATGCCAGAATGAACGCTTGACGTTGTGATTCTCATATTTGAGTGCTTTGTTAGGACTACACGATCGACTATTTACACCCGGGTCTGCTGCAACTTCCGGACGGAGCGGCTGTGGTCGTGGACGAATCCAAGATGACGACTGGCACAGTATGTATGATTGTCGTTTTACCCAATATTTGGACTTTTGTGCTGATTCGCCAACTCCATCGATCGATTCTTTGTATTGACTTTTGTATGTAAAGATCGTGCAGTGTCATACTAATTGAAGTCACACACGAATTCAATATTGCATTGGTCGATGAGCGGATTTGATTGGCTACTTGATTCGTGTTCTGGGTTTTGATTGGTCGATCGATTGTCTGCCGATTTGGTGCTGTACACATTGTCCTTTTACCATTTTGGGCTGATTATCGTTACTGTACCAAATCTATATCGATTCTTTGTCCTGACTTTTGTAAAGATCGTCCAGTGTCACACTAATTATAGATCGTCCAGTGTCACACTAATTTAATCACACACTAATTCGATCGAAGAGTGGATTTGATTGGCTACTTGATTCGTGTTCTGGGTTTTGATTGGTCGATGGATTGTCTGCCGATTTGGTGCTGTACATTAGTGGATTGAGCACCATACTCTAATTTCGAATCGTCCATATTTGCAAGTTTGGTATGTATGTACGTTCATTCAGAATCAACTTGTAGCTGAACGACCAAGGCACGCGCAACATTCACGCGCTCGTGGGATTGGTTGAAACTCAAACCCTAACGTACGACTTTCAATTCTACCACACGGTATTTCACCAGGACGTGAAGTTCATTTCCATGTCGACGTCCAAGGTGAGGATATGTATGACCTTCTCACTTGAGTTGTGCAATGTCTATCTATCGTATTCATGTGATCCTTCTCTAGTCGATCCTTCCCTCGGCTGTGAATGTGGTTCGACAGGCAACAACAACGGGAACGGCATCCACAACTACTCCCCCCGAGGTACTTGGTCGTGGTGATTCATCCATCTTGTGACCTCTACCTTGGTAGGCCCTTTTACAATGCTTTCGACTGTACATCGCTGTCTTTCGTACACTGGATGTCGAATTGGGCAACGACGGGGCTCAAACTGCCGAGCACTGGTATGTCGAAGCGCGCAAAGCCGACAAAGCCATCGGGGTAAGAATCAAGCTATGATAAGCAACGATAGCTCATGCCCAACGTTGTAGGCGGACGATCTACATCGTTTAGTACGGGTTGCTCGTTTAGTCGCACTTAGTTTGGGCCAATCGGTTGTCACGTTGGCCGCGTGGCAGCGTGCCCTCGAATTGGACAAGGCCGCAACGTGAACCATGATGAAACTACGTATGTTACATTTACTGGTTGCTGCCTGGGAAGGAATTCCTCAATTGGAAGCAGGCGACCATTTTTGAATGACAATCACGAGAAATTCTCGTTCTACACACACACAACATATTGGTTCAACAAGGACGTGCATGGAGACCTGGTGTCGTACCGTGAGCGACAAGAATCTCAAATTTCTTCAGTCGTATGCGAAGATATTGCAAGTCGTTCTACGCCATGGTGCGTACGTACATGGTGAGGCGTGCGATTCATCGGTTTTGGAGTGCCGTACCTTGGGGTTCAAATCGCGAACAACACCTCGAGCTTTCGTAGTGAGTTCCTTCATGTACGTCGAGTATCGCTCCGCATTCGCAGGGTCCATGTGCGGGTGACGACGCAGCACCGATCCATTCTTGTCTGCAATCACATAGCCTTCCACTCCCTTGTGGTTCTTGATCCGCTCCAACGTCTCTTCCACCTCCGACATCGTGCCGTTCGTTCTCCAAGTGGTGGTGACCTTTCGTGCGAATCCAAACAACGTACGTATACGAGATGGAATTATCCGAAATGCACAGACTCAAATGCAAACTAGTATTAAAAATCCTAGTAACAAATTGAGTTTCACAATGTCCAATCAAATGGCAGTATGGTTCACTAGCCAATCATATACGGGAATGGACAACACTTGTACATGTGGGAGTTTGCAATGTAGCTAGTTAGATCTGGTTTTTCTTTTATAGATCATACTTACCTGACTGGTGCTCGACCGTGATCAACAAGGCGGTTGACATGAGCCGGAGCAGGCCTTCACGCACTCCGGTGCTGTAAGGGCTCAGGAGTACCTTCGGGTATTTCCACAGTGCAATTTTTGCCAGCGGAGGTGTGCGCGTGCGCCACCTCCAACCCCTCCCATATTCCTCCTTCTATCTCCTATCTGCCTTACTCCCATGCATCTCCTATTCCTACCCCTTACGCAGATTTGGTACTGAAGTGACTCCACAGGCACTTAACTGTAAGGTTTGGTTGTCCTTTAATGTATCGCAAACGCAGTTGGACTACTAACGTTAGAAATGAATTTTTTAAACCAAATACAACATGCAAAGCAATTACGGTTGCGAGCTCAACCAGCAGGATCGGTTTCATTGTCGGTTACGTACAAATGCCGACGACGAAAGAGGCGGCGTTGGCCAAGATCAACCATTTGAGATGCTCTGGGTCAAGCCTGTACCACACGTCGTCGTATGTCCACTTAGCTGGATCCGAGGCGAAAGCGAATCCGCACCCGATCGCCGACAATGCGGTCGTGGAAGCGTTTGGAGTGGGCAAGTGTCCGCGCTTGGTGCGACTGCTGAGTGACGACGACGTTGGTGTCTTGGTTCACACGTTGAAATGTCTCACGGGGGTTCTTAACAACCCTCGGGATGTGGTGGCTTGCCTCGACGAAAACCACAGCATTTTGGACCCCCTGTCCAAGCTGCTTTACCACGGCAACGCGGAAATCCAGCAATTGGCTGCCGCGTGCCTGCATTTGATTGCCAGTCACGCGAATGGCCGCGCGGCGCTCATTGCAAAGCGCACCATGCGCAAGATCATGAAGGCGTTTGCTCGCACTGACGAAGTGGTCGTCCAGAACTTGCTCGACACGGCGCTGCATGTCAGCACCATCCTCGCAGGCGCACAAGAAATGACCCAAAACAGGTAGGTACTGCACTTGAATATCGAACGAAGACACCACACACATAAATTGTTTGCGTAGTTATGTGCCAATTATCTTGGACAAACTCAAGCAAGAGCCGCTGTCCGACGCCGTCGCGTTGCGCACCCTGCGCCTCCTCAAAGCATTCGTAAACGACGCCATGTCCGGCACGGTCTTGCGCATTGTCGAAGCTGGGGGCGTCGAAATGGTGTCTCGGTTTGTGTTTTCCAAGTCCAAGACGGTATCGTAGCGCCGATAGTTTGCTCAAGTAGTTGCTGTGATTTTTGCTAACCCAGAATGGGGTGATGTAGATTCAAGTGGCGGCGTTGCACTTAATTGGCGCCATGATGTACTTGGATCGGGGGAGGGAGCGCGCCATGACGCACGGCGTCGTGAAGCGGCTGTGCAAAGTCCTCATGGACAAGGACGCGTCTGTGTGTATTGCGAGCGCAGGGGCGCTGATGGTCCTGACGATCCACGACGACGCCAAGCGGGAATTTCAAGAAGGTTTGCATGTGCACACTTCTCAATGTGTCAACACTGTTGTGTGGATATGGGGTAGGAGGGGCCATTCCTGGGCTATTGCAACTGCTCTATCGACAAACGTTTGGCATTCAGTTGAACGTACTCAAACTCATTGCGTGCATTGCGTCGTACCCGCCCGCGAGACACCAATTGCGAACGCCTCAAATGGAGAAAATCATGCTCGCTTTGACCGACGACGACAGCGAGTTGCTTGCGCGCTCCGCCAAGGTGGCTTTGCACGCCGTGCTGTGGATGCCTTAACATGAAGCGTTGTAAATTTGACGACGCCATTGGAGAGAATGGTAATCTAACCTAACGTTAGTTAGGGCATCCCCACCAGTACGTGATACCGATGATTGGACAAAATTATCCATTGATAGCATGTTATTGGCTAATTCGTCAAAACTGTATTTTACAGTCGCGACTGTAAATCTGACCGATTTGCAGTCTCGCGGTAAAATTATACAGTTTCCTGTATTTTACAGTCGCCCGGTGGGGTTGTCAAAACTGTAAATAATCCGGATAGAACTTTAAAATAGAGTTTACAGTCGCGCCGGTGGGAATGCTCTTAGACCCAGTCATGGCACTGGGATATCAAGCTCAACGTGGTTATATTCCACCATGATTCTTCAACGCAGTCCAGTGTGTCGATATCAGTACTTGGCTGTCAAGCCTTGAGGTTCGTGTATGTATCGAAACGCATGCTATGTGGACCACGATCTCATAACCCTAGCCTTGATTAAAATCAAGGCTAACGTTACGCGGATGAGATCGTTGCATGACTCTCCAGCATCCCGTGCGATCTCAGATGCAACCATAAGCAAATGTGCAATGTGATAATGCACATTTTCTAGACCTTTCGACAAAACGTCATTGAACACTATTATGCTTCCTTCGTGAATGTTCGACATCATGCTTCGATATAGAACTATTACCCACTTCTTGTATAGAAGTGCATATAAAATCACAAAATTGAGTCCTGACTGGGTGCCTTATGGTCCACAGATTCAAACATCCAACCAATCAGAACAACGTATAGATCTTATATCCAATCCGATCCATTCAAGGGTAAACTCTACCAATCATATGCCATGTTTCTATCGTCGGTTCTTTTTGTGAAACCGCAAACCCGACGTACCTGAAACATAATCCAAAAGCACGTAAAGCAGCCCTCACCCACGGCACTACAGTACCTCCCCACGACTCTCGGCAATGACATCGGTATTCCAAGCCATCTCCCGACGCTTCTCCTCGCCAGACGCGATCCCCATGCCCACACCAACGTTCACCCTCCCTCCAAACGACACAGTTGACCCCAAGTCATATCCGTCCCTCAACGACTCGGTGAGCAAATCGGAATGCCTCTTGTTGCTGAAGCGTTCGGCCAAACACGACTTGCCAAACCAGTGCCAGGAATACATTGCACAGATTCAAAGTGTGATGCGACGGAACTCCCACGTGTAGGAACCACCGATACACCAGCCACGACTCCAGTGACGCCATTATGTATTTGCCGCCGCCCATCCTTGCCCTGTTTACGTCCCGACAAGACCGACGGTTGCTTGATGTATTAACCTAATCCGACGTACTACAGTAGTTCATGTATCACAAGTCTTTCGTACGTTCTCTAGCAGTCAAAGGCCATGGTCGTCCGGCGCTTGAGTTGTACTGGAATGCAGCCAGTTCATATTGCGCATTCAAAAAGTTGATGACTCATTCCTAGAGAATTACTCGTACCACCGTTGTACAGGACTCTGCCCTACCGCGGCCCTGCATATTATCCCCTTGGTTGACTTCACGTGGAAGTTAGCTTGTAGCCGACCCCCATGTTGCGCTTCCGAGTGCTTCAACACATGCATCATCGTGCGTCCACATTGCCGCAACAATGCCGCCGCAGCACCAAGAAACGTCAGAATGTGACGCGACAGCCAGGTCTGACGTCAACTTGAAGTAGAAGCCACGCAGTTGAAGTTGAAGGTACCGAGAAATTCAATATCCAATCAAAACGGTGTGTGCGTCCAGCCAATCCGTGTGTAGTACGGGAGAAATCTGACCAATCAAACATTCAAATGATCTGACGAATCAAAATTCAATACACAATTATTTTAAGCGAATCAAATGAGTTTATCTTTATGACCAATCCGAACGCTACACAAAGTAGGACACTCCCCTTTCTGCGGCGGCACATTCATCATGGGTCATGGACAGTTCGTGTCGACGATGCTCGTCCACACGACGGTGGTAAACCCTGGTCTGAATTGGATCCGCGCACCCGGTCGCTTTTCCAAGTCCGTCGCGATCTTATACTCGATCGGCTTCCTCATCGCCATCGCAAGCGTCTCGATCGGGTACGAAGTCGCCAACAACCCGCCAAATTTCTACGTCGTCATGGGGGTATCCCGCGACACTCCATTTTCCGAGATCAAGAAAGCGTACCGATCTCGGTCTGTGGAACTGCATCCCGACAAGAACCCGTCGCCGAATGCCGCGGACGAGTTCAAGCGGCTGCGCTTGGCGTACGACGTGTTGAGTGATTCCACAAAGCGCGACGTGTACGACTTTTATGGCGAGGACGACGCGCTCAAGGAGGAGGGCAAAGCGCAATCATCGTCCGACTTGGGTCAGATCACGTCCCTTCTGTCGTACTACGTCGTGTGGGCCATCTTGACGTACGTGTTGACTTTGGGCGACGCCCCCGACGTCCGTGCGTGGGCGTACTCTGGCTGTTTGTTGATGCTCGTGGCCGAAATCAACATTACGTTGGCCAAGGTTGGTGGTCGGATATATGTCATTGTGACACGTCGTCCTTGCTTCAATCCGTCGACTAGGTCGGACTGTCCAAGGCGTTCTTTCCGCAGATCACCGTGTACGAGCTAGTGCAGTTCATGCACTTGTTGTACCCACCGTTTATGAATGGCTGTCGGTCGATGGGGGCTTTTTACGTGCGCAATCTCGTCCAGGAGAACTACGACTTGAGCATCGAGCTGCTCAAGAGCAACAAGGTAGGTACTACTTCTAGCCCATACCTCATTTTCCTTTACCCCCGACTTTGAGGATAACACGATGGGAACTTGACGTTGATTTCAGATGATTCTCATGGGCATGCGACAACTCAACGCGGAATTGCAAGGACTCGGGCACCCGCCCCGCCGCCCCAAGACGCAAAAGCAGCATCCGTCCGTGGTTGGTGCCCCCCCCGATGGCGGCGTTGGCCAACAACCCACCGCCGAAGAAGCCGAACTCATTCAACCGTCGCCTGCCATCAACAACGCCGGCGGGTTTGCCGTGCCCAAGTTTGTGTACGCGATTGGGTTTTACTTGGTGATGAATTATATTTTCGGTTGAACCAAAATCAACAACGCCACAATCAATATACCATAACAGTCTATATACGAGTATTGCAAAACTAAACACCCCCCCGACATTGTATACAGTAATCATGTACCTCCGATTGGAAATAATTGATAAGTTTCACTTTGTTGAGCCTTGAACAACTGTATCTCAGTCAAAATTGGTTATTGCCTTGACAATGGGTATTAATATACTTCCAGGAAGAGAATGTCACTAGAAATCCGATTTTAGTGCTTAGAGAGTCCTGATTAGAATATCTTAGAAGTTATGGTCAAAAATCGATCAGGAATGATGCTCAATTTTCACTGTGCTATCATATACTTATAGTACGTAGTACAAAGTACTTATACTGTAGTAATGCTGTACACCTATAACTGATTTCACATACAGGTTTAGGTGGAGATATGTGGTACTATTAATAGTACAGCAATTATGGAAATACCTGTATTATATAATAATAAATGTACGTAACCGGTAAACCTTTCCAATCGATTAGTATTTTAATACTAATCGATTACTTCGAAGTATTACGTACTATTAAAATAGTACGTAATAATAGTAGTAATATAATAATTGTAGTAATCACAAAAATATGTTTATAGTCTCTGGTTCATATGTAGTACGTACTACATTGTATTAATACTTTGGCGATTCAAACGACTGGTGTTTTTTTATATTCTATTTGAAAGGACCAGCAGCAGCACCACCAACCAGCCAGCTATCGTATTTTATCGCACGCAACAAACCACCGACACACCTGTACACCATGCCTGACATTAAAGTTCGTTCAATGCAGGAGTGCCATGACGTACCAAGGCAGCGCGGAGCCGATGGGCGACGAAGACTAGCGCCACATCCAGCGGAAGGCGAAGGAGCACAACGTATGACGTCACGCATGTCGACAACAGCGCCAAGTCTTGGACACTTGTGTCTAATACTCGTCATACATGTGATGAACATAACATTTGGTTGGGTGGGTGGTCGTCGTACATAGGACAAACAGTCGCAGGGGAAGCGGCGCCTTTCGCCACACACTCACGACGCCAGCAACGAGCGACATGCATATCGATGCGATCATGAGCATTGGCATGGCCTCGTCAATGCTGGTGCGAGGCTCGGTCAAGGAGTATGGACTCGTGTTGAACCATGCACGTGCTACGAAGAAAGGAAGCACACATGGAATGGGTTTTGGATATGGTAGTGGCTGTACTGTTCTCCGATGGAGACAGAAACGACAGCGTGAACATCAAGTTGACGGCCGCGACGACTGAAAATGCCACCTACATGTGCGTATATATATGTCACAGCTGACATGTAGAACTGTCCTGTGTGAACTAAAATGGGATTTCCCATGAGAGTCGTACCTGAAACTCAATCACTTGAGGGTGTTTTCGCATGGGGTTTGTCATGAACACAGCCTACGGAGCGAGAAATGAGGGCTTTAAGCGACAGGACGGACGTACAGACGGTTACCTTTACGGCCGAGGTCGAATTATTTGGCGGCGGTGTGGACAGACTGGTGTTGTCTGGTGGAAATCCCTACGGATCATCAACGCAACCGTCACGTGCCTCCCTCGTTTCATCGTTCTTCATCACCAGAAGCACTTGTTCATTGGGAAGGATGAGCTGGACTGGCGCTGGGCTCTTCTTCTGCGCATGCAGGTCAAACGAGTTGCCGGCGCCGTTCAAGTCTGGTCGTTGATGGAATTGCATGTTGCGAAAGTGTCGTTGTGCCACCATCCTCGTATGTGATTGGCCCATAATTTACTTTGCTTTAAATATGGTATAATTCAATCTAGTGTTTCAATCTATTGTGGCATGCTACACGACGTCCTTTCGTGCGTCTTGGTGTACAGGCGTCGCGATGGGCGGAATACCATGTTGAGAAGGAGACGGCTGGTACCCGTAAGGAGGACATGCGACACCCTGCGGCGGTGGCTGTGAATGCACGACGTAAACGGGCTGGCCTTGGACGTCAACGGCTTGGACTAGCTGGCCATCGGGCCCATGGACGTACTGCGGGACGTAGTACTGTCCGTCAGTGCCTTGAACATGCCCAGGCACGAACTGCAAGGTGCCGTTCATCCCCCGGACATACTGACCTTGATGGACCATCACAGGTTGTACATACGTGGGCAACAGAAGCGGCTGCGTCGCCGGTCCTCTGGTGGCACCGGCAGCTTCAGCACAGCAATAGCCACAGAGACAACCACACAGAATATCACCACAGCAGTCGTCCATGATGGTGTCTGAGTGCACCGCAAGTTGAATGAATTCGCAACATGGTTGCCACGAAGTGATCTATATATATGCTAACGTTACTTCCTAGCACAACGCTCACATGTCTTTTTATACTTGACCTTACGTCAATGGGTAGACTGTGAATGAGTTCTACACTGCACAGGGCAGGCACATAGCCACGACCCGTCAGAGTCGTCGCATTCCGTTTCATTCCATTTCGCATTCTCACTCCACTGTATTCATTGTGATCTTCACGCCTTGGATCCAATGATCCAGACTTTTTCGTCAATTTTTGTCCATTTTGGCTGAAAATTGGAGGTTTTGTTCATGATCATGGCAGCCATTGGCCGATTAAAGTAAAATCAAAGGCTCTATCGATATACTCATGTGATACCGGGGCACGGATGAAGTCAAAGCAATTACATGGCTTAGTACAGTACTCCAGAAGAACTTGCAACTTGGTTGCACTTTGACAACAGTGCTGATTTACTAGCAAAGCTCGCGACCTTTCAGCAATTTTCGAGTTTTACCATCATTCTAGGATGCACTACCATCACTCGTGGTTGATGGTCATGGTGATTTTGCATTCGTGACGGCAACATGCGGCGGGCACACGAACCTGAACCCGAGGCGATGCCGCACAAGCGAGCCCATCTCGACAAGTCGATGGAATCACGTAATGACACCACCCGTGTCTAGTGGGTTGTTCTTACACACATGTGTAGTGTCGTTGGTGCCGTGGCAGCCCTGTCCGCTGATGCTCGAGCTGCACCCTACTTGCAACCTGCCTCTAGAGGACAAGGAGCGGTTGCGTGTCGAAGGGCTGTACACAATCGACCCCGCAGATCGTGCCAACTTCTTCGGCTTGGGTCGCGATGACTTTGAGCGAGTGCTTGATCCAATGTGGTTGCGTCGCTTCCATCGGTGCATTTGCCATTTCAAGACGGAGATGAGTCCATACGGCGGCGCCACGGCGTTCGTGATCGTCCCGTCCGCCAAGTCTCACGTGCTGATCAACAACAGCCCGGCAGGTTCGTTCGCCTCGGCCATCTTCATGTGACCAAGCCCATCATGCCATGCATACATAGCCAACCGGGTTCCAGTCACGTTGGCAGACGGCGACGAGATCGTGCTGGCACAAAAGTCCGACGGCACCCAGCTGAAATACGTTGTCGTCAAGCGCGACAGACATCCCACGATGGATGCCACGATTGTAATAATCGTCCCCCCAATGAAGGCTACGTACGACAACTTGACTGACTGGCACACGTACTGTTTTAGGGAGTGTTGTTTGCCGCGCCTCTCGTGGAATTCAATGCCGATGGCGTCGAAACGGCATTGCCGGTACCCGTCCTCTCTCCCTTTCGACAAGGACTACATAGAATGTCCCCTCTTAGCTCGTTTGTCCATCGTCTGCGGGCGTCTAGGAACTGGACTTTCGGAGCGAATGTCTCGTGCTGCAGCGCTGCCTCTTTGACGCGTCCAGGCTCAAAGTGCGTACTTCACTGCAAACTCCACCATACATTATGACTTGAACGACAGGAAACCATTGCGACGACGCCCTATGACGACCGCATGACAGTTCGAGTGCCTCGCCCGATCCATCTCCGCGTGCACTTTGCCACCAAGGCGTCGTTCCAGTCGTGGTGTCGGGGCCTCCAAGTCCTCCATTTCTCTGGTCATGGCAACGACCAGTGCGTGTACTTTGAAGACGGCAGCGGCGTCGCCGTGCCCGTGACTCCGCACCAAGTGGCGGCGCTGCTGCCGTCCCCCATGACCCTCCAACTCGTGTTTGTCGCTTCCTGTGCATCGGAAAACATGGGTAAACTACGCAATACCCCCCCACATCATCAAAGCAAGCACTCACGACTTGACTCGTAGCGCAAGCGTTCGTGGCCCACGGCGTTCCACATGTAGTCTGTACCAAGAGCAACACGGAGCTCGAAGACAAGGCCGCGATTGCATTCACAAGGTACAGTACGTACACATATATAATATATGACGTTTCGATCATCCGTTTTGACGTCGTCACTGATGCTCACGCTGTCGCAGACGCTTTTACGAAACGCTCGCGCAAGGGTACTCTGTCCAAGCAGCGTTTGACAGGGCCAAAAACTTGGTCGCAGCGGTCCCCAACACGCGCAACCCGACGGACGTGGCCGAAAAGTTCCAGCTGCTGCCGCCTAATTGCGATCACGACGCGGCGGTGCTGTTCCCGCCCCTCGAAATGGACGCCCCCCTCAACTCCACGGACATGACGACCGAGTGGACTCAATTGAGTTTCACGGCCATGGACCGGTCGTCGTCGTCGTCTGGCTCGACCGATTCAACTCCGTCGCTGTACGACCTCTTTCCCAATAAACTGCACCACGTTCGTGCAGGATTTGGGTACCGCAACGTCGACATGCGCCATGTACGTTTGATTAGTCATCCAGATGAAACAATCAAAACGATAGGGCGTTCGATGTATATATATATTTTTTCTACACTAGTACTATATATTATTTCTGCTGATCAAGTGAAACACGACTCGTCCGTCCTATACTATAATTACCTCGGATCATTTGACGTTGAATTTAACAATGGTTTACATTATTGTGAATTCGCTATAAACAACCAAAATTCGCATGGGTTGGCTAATCAATGTTGAACCGCGCTGGAGTTCTGATTGGTTGAATATACTTGTCCTTTCTGTAAGAGCCAATCAAATCACTCAAAATTGGATGTTTCGCCAATAGCTTCGATATATGGGGTCTGGATATTTGGACCGAGTATACCACAATATATACGAGGATTTATGATATTCATGTGTCCTAAATCAGACAAGAGGTCCTTGTATAGCGTACCCATCTTTTGAGCTAGCGTGTTGTCGACTAGTAGTCTAATGGCCCAACCTTCTTGAACATTGTCGGTATGAGGATTGCGACCGCTATTACGGCTAGGATGTATAGATCCTTGGCTTAAACTGGACATGTATGTATACTTCTATCATGATGGTCTCTGATAAGTGCATGCGGTCGCTCTTTATATTTGTGTAGCTTGTGCGAGCCATCCAAACGCACCCTGTTGTGACTGTCACGGGGCCCGAAGGAATCGGCAAGACGCAGTTGGCGCTGGCCACGGCGTGGTTCCTGGACCTGCGACATCCCCAGCGGGACAGCGTCCGCGTCTGCCTCCTCGGGGGGGTCCTCGACCGCGTCCTGCACGACACAACCGCCTCGTGTAGCCCCCTCGACCAAGTGTGGGCTCGGTAACGCATACTTTACTACGATCCTCTTCCCCCCGCGTATTCATTTCAACCGTTTGTAGTCACGTCGCCGGCGTTGCTTCGGCATTGGGCACGACGTTGCTTCCAGAATTGTGGCCAAGCGTCATCATATTGGATGGCTGCGATGTCCTGCACACCCACTGCGTCTTGCGAGAGTACGTCCAGGACTTTGTATGGGGACTCCTCGGTCGCCAACCGCTGCTGCGTGTCGTGCTGACGGTGCGCACACCCCTCATGTGGACCCATGGCGGCGGGTGTACGATGCCCCTGGGCCCCCTCGCCATGACGGACGCCGCCAAGCTGCTGCAAAAGTCGTTGAATCGACCGTTCACGGCGGCAGACTACCAAGCGCTCGAGCTCGCCATCCCCCCGGCGTCGTCCATGTCTAGCGATGCCATGGCTACATGGGTGCAGACAAGTCGCGTGGTCCAAGCGACCCGCGGAATCCCAAGCCAGGTCCTGGCTCTTGTGGACAGACTCAAATTTCACGAGTCCACGCAAACCACCCACCCATAAAAAGCGAAATAACATGGATATTGCACCAACTTGGACGACTTTGTTGATTAAGATGGGATGGTTACTACAATAACGCGACCAGATTGCCCGGAAGTCCTTTGGCTTGAACGACTCGGACGTCGGTGGCGAGGTCTAGAACGGTGTCGGGACAGAGATGCTGGACGGATTGCACGAGTCGGGCACTTGCGAGCACCGACAGCGGCGGCATCGTCCATGTCACGAGGCCGCCGCGAGTCCATTCGGGCGTCCGAGCCGACTCGGTTTGCGTTATGACGAACTTGATGTGGGCATGCGATGCACATATAGCTGCCACGTCCTCCCACAACTTGCCGTGCGATAAAGTGGAGGCATTGTTATCGTCCACTACCACCAGACAAGGAGGCCTACTGTACCAAATGAATATATATATATATATATATATACATTCATCCAGCCAACCAACCAACCCAGCTACACTAGCTACACAAGACTGACGGAATATCGTACGATGGTGACGAGGACAAGGACACTGGAGATGCAAGACGACGGGTATGTTGTTGACTGGCTGCTCGTTCGATCCTACGACACAAACAAGTTGTAAGGTATCACGGAGTTGGAATGTGAAGGCAGCACGTACATTTGTACGAGGGACATCCCATGATCATGGATGGTCGAGATGTACACCAACGCGTGTACTTTGGCTCGGACGTGCAGATGCTGCGCGACGGCAGTCACGAGCGACGTCTTGCCCATGCCCGGGGGGCCAGAGATGACCACCAGCCGCACGCTTGGGTGCAAAATGTACGCTCCAATATGGCCCACCTCGTGCGATCGCTCGCAAAATCTCTACATATATCAGATAAAGTTGACATTGACGTTATTGCGAGAAACAAACAATCACGCTACCCCCACTACATGACAACGATATAATATATATATATATATATATAAATTACGTGGGTAAAGCGAGGAAAGCCAGTGAAAGACGCCAGCGCGGGACATGCCACGTGGCGATTGGAGGCAGAGGATGATCTATCGTCACCCGTTGGAGGATACATGACCGAGTCACGAGCATGATGCAACTCTTCCTTGATAAAAACACGAGGTTGCTGTGAACAGTACAACTCGCATGCCGTCTACATACACACCAATTGCACTCATGAGGTAGGTACTCATTCATTAGGTAGGTACTCATAAGGATGTACTCATTAGGTAGGTACATTAGGTAGGTACTTATGAGACTGTATCATATGAGGTAGGTACATTAGGTAGGTACTCATGAGACAGTTAGGTACTCTCATTCGATCGGGCAGCTATCTCCTTACCAGAGGTACCCGAGTCTTGGCGTGTAGGAAACTGGCTTGGACGGTCGCCCCACCGACCAATTGAGTGTAAAAATGAGTGAGAAAGTCCTTGTGGGCACTGTGATGAGACAGGTCAACCCACACGACGTACGACACGCCACAGACATCCGCTACTGTCGATCCTACAGCCAATTCAACTCTAGCTACCGTTAAACAAACAGGACCCACCTAGGCCATCGTTGGAGTGCGCAGATAGCACGATGATGGGGCGACAAGCGTTGGCTTGCTGAAACACAGCGGCGAGATCCGGCCATGGCAACGGCGTCGCCGTAAAGTCGTCGCCCTCGAGGTAGAGCCCCTCCTGCGCAGAGCCATGGCCAAAGAAGTGAACGACCTTGACGTTCGGACAGAGGCGCAGAGCATGGACGGTCGCTGGCGTGGCCACTTGGCATGCCAACTGCACACCTCGCGGGGAACCTTCGTGCATGTTGAGGCCATCGGGGTGGAGAAGACACGACTGCAAGTGGTCCACGTGATCTTGAACGTCAAGGAACTAGCAACAACGCTCAGCATTTTCACGGTCAAGACGCCAGGAAGGTGTCCAAACATACTGGCCATTCCACCAAGAGCGGGGAGGAAGGGGCGTGTGTGCACGATGGGACCACGCACGAGCCATTGGATGCGCCTCGCAACGGACCGCTAAAGAGTACCCTCTGACATGACCACAGTCAAGATCGACAACATGGAGATATGGTGGCGTACGATGATCATGTCGTGAGCACCGACGGGTATCCTCGACGACCGACTGTACATGCGATTATCGTCGTCGGCAATGGATAGCCGCCGCCGCGGCTGCTGGTGGACTGTGTCGTCGTGATCAAGCTGCAACGCTCTCTTGTTGTTGAGACCAGCAGGACGAAGCATGGACGTGGTGGAAGGTTCGGGTTTTATTGGATGGAAGGTGCTGTCTAGTGCTGGAACCAATGCAGCTGGGGCTGTGGAGATACTAAAAACGGACGAGGTACGAGATGTACTAGGTTGGTGTGACGGCGTGCGCATGGCTAAATGCAGATGAGATGCTTGGGTTGGGGCTGCTACCGCCTCGGCCTTCACCGCAATGGTACAAGCGGGTTGGTGTGGTGGGTACGATGGAGCAGCAGCATCCGCAGACGCAGGTATTGGACGCGGCGGCGGTATCGCGTAGTTGCTTTGGAATGTGGGCTTCGACACTTGCAACCCCCACCTCGACAGTGGCACGGGAACCGTGTAGTCGATCAGTGCGGCGAGGTTGGGCTTGACGTCAAGGTCGCCTACACTCGGCGCCGTCATGGTGATGACGCGTGAGGTGTGCTCTGACGTGAAGCGGTAGCGTGGTGGAGGTAATGGAACCTTGGTGTCACGGAATCGGCCATGGTCACCGCCGCCGCCAGCAGACATGTCCATGGGTTGAAGAAGTGTGTCCTTCGTTTCTACCAAAATCTTTTGATATTTTTTCTCAAAAACAGGCGACTACTGTATACATATATTATTTTGACTGGGATTTCATATGCAAATATCTGTTTTTTATCGTTTACGCAGCAGATGTTGCCTCGTCCAGCACTGATCGACATGCCATCGGCGCCAGGAGCAGCATCAAGGATGGCCCTTGCACAGGGCAATGACAACGAGGACGAACCTGCACTTGCAGAAGGCGCTCTGACGAAGCATGTGTCTGATCTCGTGCAGTCCACACGACGGAAGTTTACACTCTCGGACATCCTCGACGATAAGGTCGCGGTGCTTGACGTGTTGACGTCGTCGCACACCGACAGCCATGGCGTCGACGATGATCCCACAACCATGACACGAGACCCCGGCGAGGAGGAGTGTGGCGGTCAACGCCACGTGGCCTTCCGACAATTGTGGGAACGACATGCGTCGTCATCACGAGGTATCCAATTCCTCATCGACATCGAAGAATTGCAGCGGACCGAGCAGGGCACGAGCACGAGCGACTGGCCTGTCGATGCGTTGAATGCAGTGGTGGATCAGCTGTACATGGGCATGACCACATCCTCGCCCACGCTCATGCTGATAGCGACGCGCATCTTGGCCAAGGCATTGCGATGGAAGCGGAATCAAGCGGTGGTGCTGCGGCGTCATGTCGATTTTTTGCTTCACGTTGGCCGTGCCATGCGAACATGGATCGAGTCGACCTCCTCTCCCGACGACTCGAACGCAGTGGGCATGGCCGAGGAAGCCCTCCAGCACTGGACGACCATGATGGAAGTGTGTTTGGTGGGGTCGTGCGCCGTTTGGGCGGCATGGACGGACATTGGCATGTTGTCCGTGTCAGAGGCTGCCACGTCACGCAGTCGGCCCGACGAGGCGGCATCCAACCACCAGCATGCCGACGCCGAGCGGCAGTGCGTCGACACGATGGATTACGTCAATCACCGCGAGTACAGCGCCAGCACGACCGATGCTTCCACTTCCAGCGGCGCCGACTTTGCCGTAATGGACCAGTACCTCATGATGCCGCCGTTCGTGTCCACGGTGCCGTCTGTCGTTCGTTGCATCACGCACGTCCTCCAACAAACACGGACCCACCAGCTGTGCCCGGTGTTCCTTCCCCTGCAGCTGCGCTTACTCACCCTTGTGGGGTCGCTGTGCTGCGTCCATCGTAGCCTCGCCATGACCACCGCGTTGGACCTGCTGGACGACGCGGCCCTCACCACGTTGTTCGACCTGCTGCTCATCCCGACCAAAGACGTGACCAGCGTCCGCCGACTCGAAGAGGAAGCGCAGTTTGCGAGGCTGGTCGTGGCGGTTGCCGTCGAAGCGTGTGAGGCCGCCCGTCGACCGCAATGGCCCCTCGTCGCAGAGAAACTGTCGCTCTTGACATTGACGTTTCGATGGATCCAAGATCAAGCGATGAAAGTCGCGGTGGTCGCGGCGTCCACGGCGTCGTCCAGCTCCCAAAGAACGACACACGACGACCAACCTTGGGCAGTCACCGACATACCCTTGCACGATATGTTATCATGGGAGGGTGAAAGTAGTCTTCAAGTTATGGACGACGAGAGGCTGTTTGCGTCGTGTGCCATGTGCCAAGCCCACACGGCGCAGTGGGGTGTGGCTGGTTTGGTCGCCAGCTGTCCGTCGTTGTCCTGCTGCTGGTATCCTGACGAGGCGATGGCCACCGTCGCGGCCGTGTTTGAGAGTGCCAGTCGATGCTACAAAGCATTGTTCGACGGTCTCTTTCTAGCGTTCGTGTGCCCAAGCACTACATCTACTACCACCACGGACGACAGAAGCACGAGCCCCACGCATGCATTTTTGGAGCACATTGTGATGGTCTCTCTGGACATCTTGAACGCCAGTCGCACTACACTGCATGGTTTGTCGGTCGAGTTGCATGCGGCCATGTTTCTGCGGCGCCTCTTTCACGTCAATCCGGCCAGCATGATCGTCCCGAATGTGTTGAGAACAGTCCACGCGTGGGGCTTCCTCTTGCACCATCCCGAGCTGTTTGGGCAGGCGGAATCGACGGAAGGGGGAGGGATGGGCCAACTCGTCCGGCGGGGAGAGGGGGCCGACGGGGAAGACGTGTGGGTATTTGCTCTTCCGGGAGGTGACAGCCGCCTTCGGCACGCCGCCACCCGTACCCACGTGTACACGCACACGCTCCTGTCGAGCCTGTTTGTGGCGGTAGTTGATTCGTCCGAGGACAAGGCCGCCATATTGAGCCAAGTGACGGACGCAGTTGTGCAGCACCAGCAGAACGTCCGGTTTGTGTACTCCATCTCGCGCACGCTGGACCACCTGGCACGACAGCCGCATCTCCACTCGGTGGTGTACTCACCGTCCAACTTTGCATCGCTTGTGGCAGTGCTAACGTCGTCGTCTTCGCAACCGATACCCGATTCCAAGACGGCGCTTCATTGGGTGGCCATGCTCTCGCTGCTGCGCTTGGTACATCGGCATGTAACCGCGGACATGGCAACTGCCAACGCCGTTCTGCAGTGCGAGTTTACGTCCGCCCAACGACCGACTTCGACACCTCCTTGTCCCCCTCAGCGCTTGCTTCCGTGCTTGTTTGCTTTGCTGCGGCTGCGTCCGTGCGTCCCAATGGTGCTGGAGATACTGCTCATGCTGCTAAAGAGCGCCACGGTGCTCATGTTTGGACAAAGCGATCGTCATCCCGAGGCCACGAGCGCTCGGCTGTTTGACTTTTTGCACGCGCACGTGTTTCACGCGTTCATGCAGACCATGTCCGAGCTCGTGTCGTACGTCCCCCACTCGACGACTAATCGCGTCGGTCAAGATGATGGCATCGAGGCGACCGTAGCGAGTATGGTCACGTGCGTGGGCCAGCTGTTCTCGTTTCACGCGGCGGCATCTTGCAAGGACTTGCAGGTGCTTTTCCGAGCCTGCAATGCGTTTGTGCATTTGACCAACTTGTTGCACTCTCCTCGGTTTGTCCAGCCCCGCAGTCGGCACATCCAAATCACTCGTCAAGTGTGCCATGTATTGACGCTGCTCATGGCCAGGAATCGCGACTCCAAAGCCGAGTTCCGGACGCTGATGGCGTCGACTGCCAGCGATCACGAGCGGGTCGCGTACGAGCCGCTCGTGCACGTGTTCTTGGCGGCCGAGGACGGAACGCCGTCGTGGGAGTCGATGCAAGTGATGTGGAACATGCTCGTAGACAACGAAAGTAGTAACAGCAGCAGCAGCGACCGCATTCGAAACCCCGACGTGATTCCCGTGCTGTTTTGTCTGTTTCGACACTGTTCGCCCCACGATCAAGTGCGATTCCTGTGCCAGTTCAAGCGACTATTCCGGCCGTCGTCGCACGACTCGTTGAACCGATCCATGTGCTGCTACGTCCAGCCGGGTACGATGGACCAGCTGTTGGACGCCCTGGAAGGCGGACTGCATTCACTTCCGGACTTGGCGGACCTGGTCGCCGAGATCGGGTGGCACTCGGTGGGCGTGCGCCAGCTCAAGCGCATGTTTCGGCTGCTGCAGGCCGCGCCAGCCTTGATGGCGCCGCTCGTAGACGCGTTGTATTACATGGTTCAGCGCCACGTGGTGGATCAGCCGTCGAGGTTCTTCTTCTTTGATGGCGACCAGAGCGGGTTGGAGCTCGCGCCGTTTACTGTACCCGCCAAGGGCTTTACCTTCCACACGTGGCTCCTTCGACTGGAACAAGTTTCGCTAGGACCGCAGGATTCGTTCATCTACTCGTGGTTAGACCAGCACTTTCACGGGTATGCGCTGATGCTTCGCAACGGACGCATTGAGTACCACACCCAAACCAATGTATGGCCCACGACGATTCAGTTGGAATCAAATACATGGTACGATCAATATAGATATATATACACGTGATTAGTAGGTGCATGGTGTACGAATGCAATGTATCGGAGGAATATATATATTTCATTTTGTGATGGGTGTATAGGTATTGCCTCAGTGTAGTATACTCTCCGGGGAGTTTTCGCCTACGGCCAGAGATCACTGTGTTTATCAATGGCGATGTGGCGTGGCAATCAGAGATCACTGCTGTGGAATTTGACGGTACTCGTATATCTCCTCGAATATATATATATATATATATATATTATATATATATATATCCTGTACAACGGCGGCAATATATATATATACTAGTCGTATTTTTTTGTGTTTTCGACAAACTACTACTATTACTACGTATATATCAACTAGGACCTGTCAAGTATGGCTACATTGGGTGCTCAGTGGCCGCAACGCCCGGCGGCCGGCGCGCGATCGCCTTGTGCGGCCACATGTTGATGGGCGCCGTGTACTTCTTCAAGAAGCCTTTGCCTCTATCCCACATCCAGCGAATGCATCAGCTGGGGCCAGACACAGTGCTATTTGGGAGCGAGTACGAATGGAACGAGTGCATGGCGTGGAGCTACAACCCGAGCGTTTGGGAAGGTCAGTACTTTTTGGACTCGAGCTGCAACTTTCAGGACACGGACCCGCTGCACTCTGCCGCGCGGCGGCTGGATGGCACGTACCACATCTTTACACGCAGCGCCGTCGACGTCTTAGAGTGCATCGGCGGCATCGCCGTCTTGTTTCCGCTGTTTGCACAGTTTGACACACAATCGAGCCACGACTTGACCGCGAACGTGCTTAAGTTGCTCTGCGCAGTGCTTCGCGCCAACGCGGCCAACCAGCGCTACATGACGGACCACCACGGGTTCCTCGTCACGGGGTACCTCCTCAGCCGCGTCTCGCCGCACCACATGACGCTGCAAGCGCTGAATGCCATGCACGTGTTTGTGTTGGGGGACGACGAGTCGCGGCCGTTCCAGGCGCAGGCGCTGCGGTTCTGGCTGGCCGACTTTGCGTTGTGGGTATTTACTCCGGTCGACGTTCAGATTCACGTGGTCAAGATCCTGCACCGACTGGTAACAGACTCGCAGAAATCGGTGTGGCCAGCTGTGCTCACGGTGCGAAAGGTGCTGGACGACCTGCGGTTGTACTATTGGTTTACGCCTCCATCACTTGTGTGGCAGCAAGAAGCTACGGACCGTGAAGCAACAGTGGGGACAATAATGGAAGGAGGGCATGATGACGACTTGCCGAGCCTGTTTGAAGTGCCCGGCGGTGCCTTCAGCAAGCAAGAATGGATCCATCCAGAGACCAAATGCAGGGTGGCCACACATTTACAACCCGGCGACCGGCTGCTCGTGCGCGCCGAGCTGTGGAAACTGGTCGAGATCATTTGCAGGCAAAAAGACTCCGACTTGGACCAAGAAGACGTGAGTGCGCTGTGTGGATTCTTGGCATTTTCAGGGGATGAATGCCAAAAGGTGGATCTGTTGATGCTGCTTCGTCGTCTCCTGACAACCTCGCCACTGGCGTTCCGCCACCATTTGATTCGACTGGTTGGAGAGGAAGCTCAAAAGCTCGCTGGGCCTTCGAGTCCTGTGACCAACGACTTTTGCCCCAGCAGTGCCTTCGGGTCGCCCATCCAAGCCCACGACTTGCTCTTTGCCCTGGTCCTGCGCCGGCCAAACGTGACCATCCCCGTCAAGTTGCTCGCCTTCGAGTTGCTCGTGGAGGTGTTCACGTACAATTCGCAGTGGCCAGCAAAAACGACCACCCCCCCACATACTCCTCATCTTCCTTCGTCCAGTGTCTACTTGCTGTGTGCGATGGACTACATTGAAGACTCGTACAACGACTTGGCCCGGCTTTGTTTTCGCTTGCTACTGGGCTCACCAACTGTGGCCAAGTCGGCCGAACCACCACAGCCGCCGCCGTCCTCCTCGTTGGTCATTCAAAACCCGTGCGTACTTCCGTCGCTGCTGACGACGCTGCTAGTATGCGACGCCAGCCTCTGTTTGGAGATCGTCCAGGACCTGACCCAGCTCCTTGGACGACACAAAGCACGCAATAATGCCAGCCTATTCAAACCGTATTCGAGGCTCGTGGTGCTTCTGCTGCTTCGGTTTTCCGACTCGGCAGACGTCGACAGGTGCGTCAACCTGCTGGGGACTCTCGTTGTGAGCCAACTGCAGACGGAAGAGGACGGGTGGTGTGTGTATCACGCCATCTCGTCGTCCATCAAGCGGCTGGTGGCATCGCCGGCCTTGTCCTACACTTTGCGATGCCACGTCATCGTGTACGTGCTCCAGCACTTGAGCGCAGAGCACGCCACGTCGTCACCCCGCCAACCCTCCCCCCTCGTCAACAAAGCGTCCAAGTGGCAGTACTTGTCGCCAGACTCGGAGCGGCAAAAGTGGTATATTTTCTACTCGAACGTGTGGTATTTGGTGTTTGCGATGGAAATCGACTTGTGTGACACTGGACCCGAGCCATTCGCGTGGTCTGTGGCCACCGCCGTCGTCGCGTTGCTACAACGTACGTACCCATGTCAATGCACTATTAGTTATATATATACTTGACTTCTTGGCCAATGATGAAGATGCACTCAATGTATATATATATATATATTATTGATGTTTATTTCCAGACCCTTTTTCAATCGAAATATCACGTCGACCAAAGCGATCACACGATTCACCCCCATTGGTCCATCTGAAAATGCTTGTTTCTGATTGGCTACATTCTGTTTTTCCTTTGTAATTAATCGTGCTTGCGAAAGTCAATGAGATTTCGCAGCCACGGATTTAAAGGATCAATTTTTCGGATCGCGCACAGTTGGGAATTATGTAGCAAATTCATCATATATATTGTGCTTTCGAGTGAAATTTCGTGTTGTGGCGTGGTTTCTCGTTGGAATTTAAATCGCTTTGATTGGCTACTTCAGATGAGCTCAAAATTATTAACCAATCAAAACCTTCTCAATGAAATTCAACCAATCAGATCGATTGTGGATCGGTTTGCTTGGCGCGATTCGATTGCACCCCCTCCCATACTTGTATATCAAATTCATCATGTATATGAATGAATCTATTTATCGGTGGCGTTTCGTCGTGTAGAATTGGAGATGCAGTACTGGGTGACGTTCCCACTTCAAGTGGACGCGCTGCACCCGTGGCTGTCTCGAAAGGGCGGCATGGTGCGATTGGTTGTGCATCTGCTTGTGGCCGGCGTGGCCAGTCGCGCGCCCGACGCCATTGGATTTCTGCGGGCGTACGTGTTTCACGACTCGTTCCCACATGCGCGCAATGATTCTTCGATGGTCCTCACGTTGATTCGCGACGTGGTGGGGCTGCTCCGAGCCTCGTCATCGTCTGCCTATCCCAACCGCAGCATGATCATGGATGATGTCCAGTTCGTTCGGGAGTTGGTGCGGCGGCACAGAGGCATGCTGCAGCTGCTTCTGCTCGACTCGAATGAATCGGTCTTGCACGGGAAGTCTACTGACACGAACGACAGCGTGCTCCGCCTCTTGCAAGTGGAAACGCAGTTAAACCTCCAGTGGTCAATCTGGGACTCGGTGATGCCACCCGACTCCCACAACACCTTGTGGCATATGGAGATGACATTTCAACGCATTGTGGCGGTATGTCGGAAGATATATATATATGCAAAAAGGAATCAGCCTGCCAATCCATTAGCATCATAGTGCTTGCTTTATCGTCGACTGGATTGGTATATATATATATTTAAATTGCATTGTGCCCACGAGTATGTTTTTACAGTTTTGTATATATATATATCGATTTCTAGAATATGAACTACTACACATATATGTGTAAAATGGAATGGGCCTGCCAATCCATTAGCTTCATAGTTCTTGCTTTATCGTCGACTGGATTGGTATATATATATATATGTATCGATTTCTACCATATGAGTCTACTCGTGTAGGTGGTTCTAGCGACAAAGCCACTGGTGCACTGGGAGCTGCTGTCGACCTTGTGCAAACGACAGCGATACAACGCACCTGTGAGACATTGAACGGCTGTGATCTTTCCAAGTAAGTCGTGGGTTTTGAAGTCCATTTCATTCGTAGGCGATGGACGCGATGGTGGTGAATGCCAGGCGGGCCGAGAGGGCTGTGTGGAAGGTCACGAGCGAAGCAATGGAAAAACAGAGGCTCACAGCCAGCCACACGTGGCAGCGTATCCTGCGGTCGCTGACAAACGAGCGGGGACCGTGGGGACAACCGCCGCTGCCGGATGTGGCGTCGGCAGTGAGCTGGAAGCTCGACGGATCGGAGAACCACATGCGACAACGTATCAAATTGAAGCGGTACTACAACGCCAAACAAGCGCCGGTGCCGCCGACTGTGACGTGGCTGTCCCCGGATGCCCAGATTTCCCTCGCGACTGAACTGTTGCAAGCCAAGGCCCTGGCGTCATACAACGAAGACTTTTATCGAAAACACACGCTCGCATTGTACGAAGACGACGACAACGACGATGTCAACAACAGTGGGGACAACCAACGGATGATCCGCCCCAGCGGCAGCGTCGACGTCTCATTTGCATGCGAATGGATTGCCAAGACTAAAGTCCAGCCAGGTCGCATTCAAATAGGACCAACGTACATCACGTTGCACGTGGAGGCAAAGAAGAAGCCGAAAAAGTTTACTTTGCACGTACGAAGTCCATTGTTGTTGTTGATGTGACTCGTGTGTACCCACCTACCTTCCGGGGAATATTTATATATATATGTATGAAGGACTTATAAATATGTTTATATATATATGTGTGTGAAGGACTTATAAATATGTATATATATATATGTGTGTATGAAGGACTTATAAATATGTTTATATATATATGTGTATGAAGGACTTACAAATATGTTTATATATATGTGTATGAAGGACTTATAAATATGTTTATATATATATGTAAACATGTATGAAGGACTTACAAATATGTTTATATATATATTTATGTATGTAGGACTTATAAAAACAAAACGAATTTTATTATTTATCCATTCTTTATTAATCCTCAAACAACAATAAATCGATTTTAAAAAATCAAAAATATGTATATATATGTAGGACTTGGTGTGCATTCACTTTCGACGGTACCAGTTGCAACCTAATGCACTGGAGTTCTTTTTTCGAGACGGCGTAACGTTGTTTGTCAACCTCCACGACCGCAAGACATGCCAAGAAGTCGACCACGTGATTCGGTCCATGTCTGTGCCCCGTCTATATCCGCTGGGCGGCCGCAGCCCCCGCCAGTTGTTTGAACGGTCCGATCTCACGGAGCGGTGGGTCCAGCGCAAGATATCCAACTTTGACTATTTGATGCACTTGAACACGATTGCCGGTCGTACGTACAACGACTTGGCGCAGTACCCGGTAGGCGCGCAGCCCCTCCGTCGTTGACGGTACAGACACAGTGCTTATAGTTTGCTGTGCTAGATATTTCCGTGGGTGTTGGCCGACTACACGAGCCCGACTTTGGATCTCAACAACCCCACGACCTTTCGCAACTTGGAGCGCCCCATCGGCGTCCAAAACGATGCATCGATGGCATTTTTCAAGGAGCGCTACAACGTCCTGAACGTCGAGTACCAGCGGTCAGTCAAGGGATCGACGTCGGTCAGTGTACATTTACCATATATATTGTCCTTTTACTTTGGAGCTGAATCGTCGTCGATTCGTTGTACTGAAGTTTGTAAAACGTGGCTGCCCCGTGGTGATTGTGTGTTCACACTAATTTCAGTCACACACTAATTAATGCCATATGTTGGTGATGATGGTTTCCTGCAATGGCTGATTGGCGAAATATATCCTACTTCTGCCGATGATTCTTGTGTACATTGCTTTGGTTGTGTCAATTCAAAATCCAATATATATTGTAGATGGACGACATGCCGCAATTGCCGCCGTTTCACTATGGCACGCACTACTCGACATCGGCGTTTGTCGTGGGTTTTCTCATTCGATTGCAGCCGTTTATGAACTATCACTTGCGTCTTCAAGGCGGTACATCCTATATATATATATATATATTATAGCGAAAAATCTATATATATATTCTTTGGCAGGCAAAGTAGACCACGCCGACCGGTTGTTTCATTCAATCGACGCCGCGTACAAGAGCTGCACGTCCAACCCGAGCGACGTGCGCGAGCTCATTCCCGAGTTTTTCTACTTGCCGGATTTTCTTGTCCACAGCAGTAGCACCCACGAGCCGTTGGGGGTCAAGCAGAATGGTGACGAGGTCAACCACGTCGAGCTGCCTCCATGGGCGCACAACTCCCCCGCCGAGTTTATCCGGCTGCATCGGATGGCATTGGAGAGCGAATACGTTTCGCTGAACTTACATCATTGGATCGACCTTATCTTTGGGCACAAGCAGCGTCCGCCTCTCTTTGGCGGCACTTCGCACGCCGTGGACGCATGCAACGTGTACTTTCACCTAACGTACGACGGCGCTGTGGACCTGGACACGCTGAAGCAAACGGATCCCCATCTATACCACACGACGCTGCGGCAGATCGACTGCTTTGGACAGACCCCGGCGCAGCTGCTGTTCCGCCCGCACCCGCGCCGGACTTTGGCGACGGATGTGATCCGTCCGCTGTTTCAGGCGCTGTCGGCGGGTCTTGTCGGGTACCCCCGCGTCCGGCTCAGTCGGTTCCGGCGCCCGCTGCTGTTTTTGTCGATTGACGGCGACTCGTGCGTTGGCATCGACACGAATCGCAACGTGAGCGTACACAAGTGGCATGCGTGCCCGCCTGACCACGAGCCCCCGTTTCACCTCACGACGCGTCCGTCCGTGCACTATTCGGTCGGCGTCCCCTTTGCCACCCACGCTGTCACGACGTACGCCGAGACCGCCGTCGTGCTGTCGTCGTCTCTGTTTATCACGTTTCGAAAGCACTTGTTTTCGTGTGGCCATTGGGACCACAGCATTCGACTGACGCAGCTCGAGACGGGCCGGCCGATCCAAACGCTGCGCCAGCACCACGACGTTGTCACATGCATCGCCCTGACCGACGACGGGACGTACTTGGTCAGCGGATCCAGCGACAACACTGTCATGGTGGGTGTTTATAGGCGGATTGTGTTTTGTCCATGCATTTTGGAGCTATTGTTGTTGATATGTCGGGGTAGTGTGCTAACTATGTACTGGGTGGGGGGGTATGTATGTATCTATGTAGGTTTGGGCGTTTGACGTTGAGTCAGAACAGATGGTGCCGCAGCATACGCTGTACGGCCACGACGACGGCGTGACATGTGTGACAGTGTCCACGTCGTACAACGTGGTCATTAGCAGCAGTCGCGACGGTACGTTGATTGTGCACACGCTGAGCAACGGCCGATACTTGCGCACGATTCGCTCTCTGTCACAGCACCACAAACCGTCGCGGCTAACTTGGGTGGGGCTCACTCAAACGGGGCACGTCGTCACCTATGGCGAGTCCACGTCGACGCTGTACTTGTACTCGATCAACGGGAAGTGCCTCGCCAGTGCCGTCGTGGATCAAAAACTGCACGCGTTCTACTTGACCAAGGTACACCAACTAGCGAAATCGTGGCGATTGTTTGTATTGAATTTTGTATGCAAATGTTGTCCCGTGTCGCACAAATCTACATCACACACACTCACTGCTTTGATGTTGCATGGTGGAAGAAAGAATTTGATTGGTCAGTTGAATAAGCATGTTGCGGGTTTTGATTGGTCATATATCGATTGTGATTTGATGTGAGCAGCAAGCACCTTAACATTACTCAAATTTCGAATCAAATTGACAACAACATGATGTGTCGTTAGGATGGACAGTCTGTTGTGGTGGGGGGGCGTGGGCAGTCCGTGGCCGTGTACCGCCTCCATGACATGCAACTCGTCCTCGAGTTCGACGGCAGCAGCGACAAGTCGACCGCCCCCCGGGGCTTCCAGAGCGCCATCCACTCGCTTTGTTTATCCAGCGACGAGATGCATCTGATGGTTGGGCTGGCCAATGGTGATGCGTACATTTATACCCCCAACGCTGCCTACCTCCGGGAACGTCTGCAAAAGCGTCTCACGAATCTCGGATTCTAATCCTATTTAGTGATAATCATAGTGTCAGGTATACTGCGACAGTAAGTGTGGCAGCAATGTTCTGAAGTTAGGGTAACTTGGTCCTGCATCTTGGTGTGTCGTCGTCGTCGTTGGCTTACTCCTTGTCTGTGGAACTTGAATCAAAGGCCAACTGGGAATCACGTTATATCGAGTCGAAACGCTTCCTTGTTCGTGGTGACGTGTGACCCACAAGTCTGCATGTCGGAGTTGAGCTGCACCAACACTGCTTCGGACGAGTGTGCTCGTGCCATGGCTGCGGTCACTTGAGTTTGCAGTCGATTGATGATCTCGCCCTTGGTGGCGATGGCGATTCGCACACGTTCGTGCAGCTTGTCCAGCTCTCGCTGATGCTCGGCGTGGATGTGCCGCTCGACTTCGGCGTGCGCCGCTGCTTGTTGCTCAAGACGGCGGGTGGTTTCCCTTGCCAGTTCTTGTCGCTGTTGCGCACAGGACTGCACCATAGTCTCGTACAGGTGCTGAAAGTGGCTCACTTGCGCTTGTTCGTGGGCCAACGCCTGCTGCAGCCCTCGAAGTTTCTCGTCTGTGTGGGTTTCGTCGGCTTGGGCCTTGAGCAGCTGCGCCGTCAGTTCGCGCACTCGGACCTCCATGGACTGAACTTGCTTCTTGGCAACATGCAGCGCGTCCTCGAGGACCTGCGCTTGCTTGTCCATTTCGGTCATGACGATCTTGAGCTCGTGCTCGGAGTGGGCTCTCAACTGTTCGATCTTGCCATGCACGGCGTCCTTGACTTTGATTTCAAACGCATGTTTCCACGCTTTCATCTTGGACCGCACGGCGTCCACCGTGGCTTGGCATGTCTCGTTCGTCTGGGCGAGTTTGGCGTTGCACAAGGCTTGGATCTCGACGACTTTGGCATCGTACGAGTGCGTGAGTCGCTCGAGGTCTTCAAAATGCTGCGTTTCCACCTGCTGCTGCCACGTCTCCATGTCTTTTTCCCGCTCTTGCAATTGCATGGCGTTGGTTTCCAAGGCATCTGTATGCAGGTTTTGCTGCTGCTGGAGCTGATCCATCCACTGCGTTTCCATAGTTTTGTACGCATCGGCCACGTTGGACAATGCTAGCTCATATGACTCTCGAATGGCATCGACATGCTCGACGAGGATGTTTTCACGACCGGGTCGAATACCCGATGTCCGAACGATCATGGTGTGTTCGGCCAAGGCGGCAGACATGTCGCGGCGGCATAATTGCAACGCCTTTGTTAATTGAGACGACGCGACCCCGCTGCCAACGACGACGGCGCTCCCCATCGACTGGAGCTTTAACTGTCGTACGGCTTGCTTTGTCGCATTGTATTCCTTGGCATCCAGCGCTGTGCACGAGGAAGCTACCATCCTTTGGCGGTTCAACGTGAATAGGTTGAAACCGCTCGCTCACTGGAGAGTAACGGTTCAAAAGTCAATTTGGGTTTGATCGGTTAAACTAATATGATTGGCTAAAAAGGTTGGCGAAACACGTCAAATTGTGCCACTCTTTCGTGGCCCAATCAGCGCTGGAGTTGGCCAGCATATGGACATCCGTGAGTTGACTTCGCCTCTGTACACTCCGTGCATCGTCGACTTGTTGTGTGAGTCCAAGACAACGCAAACATGCAAGTGTACATCATTGCCGCCTGTGCCCGCAACCGTGTGATTGGCATCAACGGAACGTTGCCTTGGAGCATTCCGCTCGACTGGAAATACTTTTTGGACAAAACGCAAGGTCGCACGTCAATCATGGGACGCGTGTCCGCTGTGGAGTACCCGACCAATGAACATCGACCTGTGATTGTCATTTCCCGGTCGTGGCAAGCTGCCGGCAAGACTGCGCCCCACACCGAGGTGGCCACGAGCTACAGCCATGCGTTGGAGTTAGCAGCAGCCCGCAATCTGCCCGAAGTGTGGATCTGCGGCGGCGCTTCCATCTACGAAGAGTCCCTGGCGTCCGCGCACAAGCTGTTTATCACTCGTGTCGAGTTGGACGTGAAGGGCGACACGTATTTTCCCGAATGGCATGACCACTTTGATGTGCTAGAGTCACGCGAAGAACACGACGAGAACGGAACGAGGTGCATTACCTATTCAAATCTGCCACGTTGATGCTGAAGTAATTCGTAGGTTTGCCTTTGAAGTATGGACCAAGTCTAAGCCACCTATCGTTTAGGTTACAGTATTGCAAATCATGTTGTTGATAACCAAGGGTCCAAACAATAAATAATACCTACTCCGTTTAACTTTAGAGCACACCGCACATTCCGTACTAAGCTTAACGTTAGAAATACACAGCGAGTGGACCATCATTGCCACACCCCGTGCGTAGATCGGACAACCGGTACTCATACCATGATGGATCGAAGTCGTTCCTATGAGGACACGTCTACTTTCACGATTTCGGCGATATTATGTTAACCTCACGTGGGTTTCACTTTGGTCATTAGTTAATGTATAGTGTTGGTAGCAGGACATACCTAGATCGATCCAAGTTCTTCCATCCATAGCATCCTCCTTATACGTCCATTGGTCAACTACTACCTCCATTGGTCAACTCTTACATACTAGTAGTACTTACTATGTACTAACCCCAAAACTCGTTATTTACCGCAACATGGTGTCTTGCAACACTACTCGTAGTGTCTTGCAGCACTACGAGTACTACTCCCTCCGAGTAGTATTACACAACTGGACCACAACTACATCCTTGTTATCACAGCGTTTGGATCCACGCCGCCAGTGGTGTCACATCACGGGCGTACACGGCAGCCCCTGTGCGGATGTTTTCAAGGAACTACGCCAGCGGGTGGGCAAAAGCGCCTTGGGGGGGCCGACCAAGAACTCTTCGACCGCCGTGACGGCTTGTTCCGTCTGGAAGTTGGCGATGGATACACACAGGATGCATCCCACGACGATCTGCGAGTACTGTGCGCTCAATGCGTCCCACTTGGCCTGCACATACTCCCATGCGACAGTTGACCCGTCGGCTGCGACGCTGCCAACAGGCTATAGATGTCCTGGCTGCGGACATCTCCCGCCACGGCCCACTCAAACGCGCGCATCTTGAGCTTCACAGACGGAAACCGGCCCAGCGCGTCCAGCACATGCAGCTTTTCGTCGATAAAGTCGCTGGTTTCGTAACCTGGAGGAGGTGCGCAAACGCAGCGTCGAGCTTGGACGTTGTGCGCACGTGGATGGTGTACACGATCGAGCGCAAGTCAGCCGAGAGTGATGCCGGGGCGGAAACTGCAGCGTGGAAGCGCACCGAGGCTTCCGCCGCCACGGCCGAAGTTGCTGGTCAGGTCTTGATCCGTCGGACGCGTGTCCCACGTCAAGTGGCCCTTCACGGCCACGTACAGCCGCCGCCGATATTTGCCGTCACTGCCACGTTGAGTTGGGGCATCTATTTCCGAACAAGGGAGTTCAAGGAGCCCGGACTCCTCGACGCATGCTCAGCTCATTACAAGATGTCAGCATTCGTTGTTCATGTCGGTCATACAGACCTCGTTGGCAAGTTGCCAAGGGATGCCATCATATAACGTTACTTGGATCCCGGCAGCGCGAATGAGATTCACTGTCAATCACGAAGCTGTGGTGCCACGTAAGAAGCCCGAAAGTGTTGGGCGTCACAGCAGTCGCCTCCGGATAACGGGTTTCGTGGAATTTTCGTAACCACAAGTCACTCGTTGGTTTGGCCACATACAATAAGCAAGATAATTCGAATTAAATTGGTTGGGGCTACGAAACTCTGACGAAAATACTGTACTATTAATAGCTAGTACTTCCTCTGTTCCAAAATTGTTGTCCGACTCAGAAAGTTGGCGTACTCCTCCCATCATTTAAATTTGGAATCCTGCAAATATCTATATTGTGTGCTTTTGTCAATGTATAATGTTAAAAGGGTGGCTCCGGCTATGCCACTTAATGTATGATGGGTGTGTGAGTGGTAAATCTCCGCATAACCATAATCGGCAAAAGCTGCAATACAATAGAAGCCTGGGGCCCCGTGCATCACAATGCTATGTACTCGACGTCATCAGTTATACTAGCGATCGACCAAATATCACAAACCCTCATACATGGAGAAGAATGTGCACTGTGGCCCTTACTCCGTCAAAGAATTCAAGAAATTCGACTTTTCTCAATTATAATATGGAACCTCACCCAAATGGGCGATTTGTCTTACTAAGTACCAAGCCACAGAAGTCAATAGCTACAGATTTGTCCACCCACGAATAAAACGAACCGAAAAAGTACTATATAAGGCAATGTTTGGACAAAAAACATTCGGTCACAACTTGTAAAAATTCTCACGAACGTGCATTTTCTCAGCATCATCCAAAGTGGTAAGGAGACTTTACTCATCGTTAAGCTCAATGACCTCAATACCGAACTCGCTAATGAGGCCATCTGCAGATGACTCGGCGCTGCCATCGCTCAGTACGATGCCTTCGAGCATGCACGACAGCTCGTCCATCAAGCGCGCTTCCTTCAGCTCGAGCGACACGGTACGTTCCATCTCGCTGCTATCCACTGCGCTGAGGATCTCCATAGCGGAGTTGAAGACATTGCATGGGCACGACATGACAAGTGGCAGCAATCCACGGCGGTCAAGCTTCGACTTTGAATGGTGAGGAATCTTGTACGTATTGTCTCCGTGATGACTCATCACTTCGACCAAACAGCTTTGGAGCGACAAGAAGGTGTGGTTGATGCGCTCCATCGGGTACTCCACAAACGCTTCCTCGACGTTTGCAATCAGATTGTCCATGTTGAACGCTGACTTGCGGTACTGTAGGGCTTGGATTGCGGCAAAGAATCCAAGGTCCAAGATGTTTGTGTCCGGTGAGTTTGGCGGCTGGGGTACCAACGAAAACTGCCATCCCATGTTCTTGTAGGCAGCAAATGCTTTGCAGAGTTGGACGTCTTTGGGAGTCACGTGACTCTTGGCATTATCGTGCTGCAGCACAACTGTCTTCGCCGAGTCAGGCCATTTGGACAAGATCGCCGGAAGAACGCTTTGGAGGATCAACTCGCGATACACGTCTTGCGTGACATTGATAGGTTTCGTTTCGAACGTTCCGGCTGGCCTGTTGACGCTTGAACGCTGTGCAGCAACGCGTTGAACGATGGGCCAGCAGCCGACTTTCCCGTCCCACCACTTGCAGGTCTCCTCTATATAGCGAGGTCTCGCAACAGCACAGAGAAACATCACCTTTGTAATGAATTGTTTGCTTTTGCATTTGCGTTCAGGCTCCTTCTCACCGTGAGCAAGGTAGAACTTTCGAGACGTCTTCGTGATGTAGAACCACTTCTCGTCTAAGTGGACGTGTTGAAGCATGTCATCGAATGTCATGTCGGGCTTGACGAAACTCATAGCGTATTTCAGGCGACTGTACTTGTTGGCCTTCGTAAGCACCGGTTTTATTGTGTTCGAATGAGCGCGGAACATCCCAGCTTTTAAGCAACGATGCAAAGTACCTAGGCTTACTCCTGCGACGCATCGTTCAGCTTGGATTACATGTTGCATCGCACCTGATTGCTCGGAGATTGCGCGAAGTGTTGTACGATTGGCTTGTGGAATTGCGAGGAGTTTGGCCTTTATTTGGGCTGGAGTGAAGGCCTTCTTTCGGCCAACTCGACCCTTCTTCTTGCTGGCGACATTCACCTTCATGATGCCTGTGAGCGCTCCGTTCGCCTTGGCTTGCGCATGAATCCGCCTGATCGTTCTGACGTTGCAGTTGTACTTGGCTGCTAGGTCTTCGCCGAAGCCTTTTGCCAGTCGTGGCATGAAACTACCGACGCTTTTAAGGAGGATCTCCCGGAGGATGGCCTCGCGCTCCTCGCTTGTCAGGTCACGTCTTCCCGCGCCCATTGCGGAATGAATGTATTTGAATGTTGGTTTTA